TGATTGCCAGTAGATTACACACACTTTGTATACCATTCAAAGGCTTTATTTAAAAAAATGAAAAACTTTCCAGATTCATCCCAGAATCTCTTGCAAGGATAAGGGTGCATCCTCTGCCCATAAGTATTCAAGGACTTATTTGTTAATTCATATCTAAGCAAGGGCTACCAAACACCTTGAGTTCTCGCCCCATTGTAATAAAAAACATTTGAAAAACAGTCAAACTTGTAATCCCAAGACTTACAACTGTTTTATCTCTGGGTGAGTTTTAGGGGAAATTCTGTTTAGTTTCCAGTGCATTTTACTTTAATCTTTTACCACTCACCATTGTCCAGTTTGGTTTCTTGTTGCTGTGATAAAACACCATGACCAAAAGCAACTTGGGGAGAAAAGGGTTAATTTCAGGCTACACGTTATAGCCCATCTTCGAGGGAAGCTAGGATAGGAGCTCAAGCAGGAACCTGCAGACAGGAGCCAAAGCAGAGGCCATGTAAGAAGACTGCTTACTGGCTTGCTTCCCCTGCCTTGCTCAGCTACGTTTCTTATACAGCCCAGGCCCATTTGGAGTTGACATTTGTGCAGGGTGAAAGATAAGGGTCCAATTTCATTCCTCAACAGGTGGAGATGCAGTTTTGTCAGCATCAATGGTTGAAGTTGCTGTCTTTCCTCCACTGTGTGTTCTTCGCACCTTTGTCAAATATCAGGTGGCTGAAATTGCATGCTCTCGTGTTTGGGTGATCTATTATACTTCATTGCTCTATGTGTCTGTTTTTGTGCCAGTACCATGCTGTAGCTTCTGGTGTGGTAATACCCCTAATTTTGCTCAAGATTGCTTTGTCTATCTGGTGTCTTTTGTGATACCATATGAATTTTAAGATGTTTTTTTTCCTAACTCTATGAAGACTATCATGGGACTTTCGATTGGCATTATATTGAGTCTATGTATTGCTTTTGGTAGGATGGCCATTTTCACAATATTAATCCTACCAATCCATGAGCATAGTAGGTCTTTCCTTTTCCTAGTGCCTTCATCTATCTCTCTCTTTAAAGATTTAAAATTTTCATTGTAGAGTTCTTTAATGCCTTTGGCTAGGTATAGTTCTAGACTTTTTTGAGGCTATTGTGAATGGGAAAGTTTCCATGAATGCTTTCTCCAAATGCTTGTTATTGGTATATAGAAAGGCTACTGGGTTTTGTGAGTTCATTTTGTAACCTACCTCTTTGCAGAAAGTATCAATCATTCCCAGAAGTTTTCTGGTGAAATTTTTGAGATCTCTTAGGTATAATATCATATCACCTGTAACTAGTGATAGTTTGACCTCTTCTTTTCCAATTAGTACTCCTTTAATTTCCTTCTCCTGCTTTATTGTGCTAGCAAGAGTTTCAAGCACTATGTTGAAAAGGAGGGAGCTACAGACAGCTGTATCTGGTTCCTGATTTTAATGGGAATGCTTCAAGTTTTTCTCCATTTACAATGATGTTGGTCACGGGTTTGTTGCACATAGCTTTAATTATGTTGATAATTAAATAATATTGGACAGGATAATCCTGTCCAATTCCCTCTAAGACTTTTAACATGGATGAATATTGGATTTTGTCAAAGGCCTTTTCTGCATCTATTGAGACGAACATGTGGTTTTTGTTTTTAAGTCCATTTTTATGATTTTTTATATTTATTGACTTATGCATAGTGAACGTTCCCTCCAGCTCTGGCATAAAGCTGACCTGATCGTGGTGGATGATCTTTTTGATGTGTGTCTACTATCACAGAGTCAGCATTAGAAGTGACTTACTATTTGTTGAATGAGAGGAGAAAGGGGAAGGTGGGAATAGGAAGAAAGAAAAGGAGAGATTTTGTTTTCAAATGGGGACAATAGAGATGAAAGTCGTAAGGTTTCAGTATAAAATTAAGAAGAAAAATCTAGACATGGCACTGGCGAGGCAGCGTGAGAGGAGCAAAGGGCTCTGACTGTCACCTGCGAGTGTTTAACACAGAGACTTCTATGCTAAGTGAATTTTACCACGTTAATTTTTTTTCCTCAGTTTTCTTTTTATGACCAGAGTATAAATGTCCTCTGTGTCCCCCACACTTTCAATGAAGTCTGTTAGATCTACAAATACGCGGTGCCTTATATAGGTGGATTTAGTGAAACTCAAGGCACAAATGTTCCATGTTAGAGGTCTGAATTACAGCAGTCTGGAGCAGATATAGAAAGCAATAAGAAGCACAATAAAATGATCTAATTCTGGGGCTGGAGAGATGGCTCAGTGGTTAAGAACACTGGTTGTTCTTGCGGAAGACCCAGGTTCAAATCCCAGCACCCACATGGCAGCTAACAACTGTCCGTAACTCCAGTCCCAGGGGATCCAGACAGCCTCTTCTGACCTCCACGGGCATTGCATGACATGGGTGCACTTACCTATATGCAGGCAATACATGCATACACATAAAATAAAAAATAAAATAATTTTTTTTAATTTTAATGGTTAATGATCTAATTCTCTAAAGTAGAAAAAAACAAGACAGTTTCCCCCAACCTCTCTGCCATCATTTTCCCCAGAGCTGCCAGGGACAGCCAGGACTTCACTGGACATAAGGGGAAATAGTTTGCCCCACTTCTGTATCAAGGGACAGGATGGCTCCCTTGAGACCTGGACTATGCACATTAGTTTATTCCTGAAAACAGAGGCAAGAGATGGTATTGTTGCTTGTGGTTTACAAGTGAGCTGAGCAAAGCTGAACGGAACGTGAAAATCTGCAGCCAGGGCACAGACCCACAAAAGTTACACTTCCCCACAGTGATTGGACAGAAATTGCATTTCTAGGCCTTACGCTAAGAAGAAAAAGAAACCATCACATTTCTATCTTTAAAAGACTGTTCTCCAAGACAATTTACAATTTATTACATAATAAGACAAAGGATAGCAAGAACTTCTAAAGTTCAAGTACAAATAGAATTGCTCTAATAGCAAATACTAATAATAATAATTCCCCAAACAGAAATGAAGGTCACCAATAGCTTGGTAAGATTGCTCCAACATCCTTGAGTGTTCGTAAAACAACAAGGAGCCCAAACAAGAGATTATTCATACTGGAATCTAATACCTACATTATTATATATTATTAATATAGTGATCTTATTGGCACAGATTAGTCATTTAAATAAACAGAAAGAGAAGGCATCCATCTGTGTCCCTATATTTTTATTGAAACCTAGAAATGCAGAAATAAAAATTTTAAAATAGTCTATCTACATCTGATTTTCCTAAACCATGTGTGAAGATTATGAAAGGAACAGTATTTGAGGGTCACATAAACTGTGTTGTTGAAAGGGCCATTTAGAGCCCCCGCCCCCGCCCCAGTGATCTCTATTTTAGAATAAACCTGAGCATTTGGGCAGGCCAGACATTTCTTTTAAAAAGAGGGAACATGGAATGAACATGTAGTGAAAGCCATGTCTTGCTTTAGTGAGAGATTAATGTGAGTCATGTCAAACAATTCATTGATAAGAGGGATGTTTGAAGAAGAGTCAGCAGAGGGAGAAATTGAAGCTATTGCATCTATATAGAAACTGTCTATATATTCTGTCTGTGAAAAGTCATCAGTGAAATAAGAAAAACACTTTGCACTGGCAGCAGCGAGCAATGTGGGGAATCACCACAGAACTCATCTTGCTGGGAGAAAAGTCGTTTGCTGCTCCTGGCACATGCACCTCATATGTCTGTATTTTCTATAATAATCATGTTTCTGTATCTGTTGTGGCAATTCTAAAGAGAAAATACAGAGATGTGCTTCTGAACATGACACATGGCGGGTAAGGGCAGAGCCAGACCAATTGCTGGCTGCTTCCCTTTTCCATAGGAGAACGGAGTTGGCACATGGATTTCCCACCCATCCAGATGGATTACGAGAATGAGGATTCCAGAGGGAATCAAGTAAGAAATGAGGCTTTGAAGGTTAAAATAAAGCAATACAGGGGCTGGGGATGTGGCTCAGAGGTAAAGTGCTTGCCTAGCCTAGCCTTGTGTTCACTCTTCAGTCCCACAATAATTAATAGTAGTAGTAGTAATAATAATAATAATAATAATAATAATAATGTAGTCCTTGGGGTCCACAGCTAGGCTCTGGTGAGTGAGGGGATGATGAAGCTGGAGCTGCCCTATGAATGCAGTGACTCTGAGGCCTGGAGATCAGCTGCTTTCTTTCTCCCTTTGTCCAAGCTGATCGTGGAGGGATCTTTTCAAAGATTTTCACTGTGGTCTTCCAATGTAAGCGCCCGAACTTCTGACTGACTCTGGACCTCTGCTCCGCTGCCTGCTTTGCTGGGCAACTCTCTGAACTCCCTTGCTTCCTGGGAAGCTTATTTTTACATCTATGGAAGCTTTTCTGTGGGGCCCTCAATTTTCAGTGAATTATAGAGAACAAATCACTCATCAGATCTTATAGCCAGCCCTTTACCACAAACAGCCGTCTCTTAACACATTCTCTGACAAGAAAACACAAGGTAATCACTTGCTTGTTTGGGAACACAATGACTATACCCATCCTCTATGCTTAGGGAGGGAAAAAGTCAGAACCTGATCAGCAAAGGATAATTCACAGACAACAAAAACCCTCACAATAAAGAACTACTGAGCCATGTGTTTGCAATGCCAACTAATGCAAGTTTATTGAGAAATACAGAGAGACAAGTTCCCTTTTTCAGAGACACAAAAGCTGAAGTCAGAAGATGCAAGAGCAAGGTAAAGACAGTGGCTGTGGGTGGTAAAGCCTCTGGAACCATCAAGAGGCTTACACAGCACCAGAAACCAAACCTTAAAATGATCTTAGTGCTGGTCAGAAAAAAAGTTTGGTGTCAAAGGCATCTTGTGCACAGCTAGCAGCCAGCAGCTAGGCAGTCAATAGTGGTCAGCAATGAAGCATTCAGGCAGCATACTGGAAGATCCTGGAAATACAGCTGGCAGGGATAGAGGCGACTCTTTCACCGGCTCCTACACAGTTAGCAAGTTCTTCGGCAGCTGGACACATAGGACTGTTGGTATGTCCTGGAGAACCCGCAGGCTGGTTGGCAGACGGTAGAGATGCCTCCCACTGGTTGACAGGAGCTGGAGACGCCCCCCACTGGTTGGCAGGAGATGGAGATGCCCCCCACTGGTTGACAGGAGCTGGAGATGCCCCCCACTGGTTGGCAGGAGCTGGAGATGCCTCCCAGGGACTGACAACCACTGGACACGAAGGTGAGTGGCCGGCTGCAGGGAGTTGAGCAGGGATTGGAGACACAGGTAGTTTGTCGAGAGCAAGTTACCCGGGCAGGACTGGAGATACAGGAAGTTCTCTGGTAGCATGTTGGCTGGCAGACAGTGGGCTCGCAGCAGGACTCCTGACAGTGCTCCAGCAGCCAGGAACCAGTTTGGAAAGAACTGGGCAAATAGATGCCACTCAGGCAGTCAACATCACGAGTAGAAGCAGTGGCAACTGGACCCACTGGGATAGTGCAGCGCTCTCCAATTGGCCTGGAAGAGCAATTTCTTGTGGAGCAGTTGAAGGACATGGTGCCAGATAGAGGGCTTCAGGGAACTCCTTGCAGTCAGCTGAATAGTGAATGGCCCATCAGCCTCCTGGGCTTTTATATATCCTTGCTCATGGGTGGGTCTCCCAAGCAAGTCTTCCTGGCTTCTCTGGCTCACACCACCTTGCCTTAGAACATCTTGTGAATCTACCAGTTAATTGTCTCTCGAGAAGCCTTCCCCCTCGTAAAGGACATTTAGTAGTTTGGTAACTAAATCATAAGCCTCCCGGACTGTACTTAGTGCAGGTTAAGAACGCAGTGGACAGCTTCAAAGCTATTGGTCATCCCTACCCACGTTTCATCCCTCATTCATCTTCTAGCATCCGATGAGTGTGCATCCAACCACAACTCCAAACATGCCACTGTCCTGCCATCACACACTCTCTCCTCTCTGACCAGGGATGATTACAAGCCCACACCCTGCTTGGTTTGTCATTGCCATTTAATATATGTTAAACATAACTTTATCAGTCACTCTTCCACAGCTAACGGGGCTTCTGATAAGGAAGGCACCTCTCTGAAAATGCTTCAGTATAGCAATGACAAGACCTACCAAGGAAAAGTACACAAAGATTTTATCAAAATCAGAAGCTGCTTTTCAACATACATTACTCAATGGACCAAAGCAAGATGGCCAGAGGATATGTAGATGGCAATGGGACCCTTCCCTTTACACTCCAGCAAGACAGCAAGTTAGATACTAATTAAGTGGAACCAGCTCTGCAGACAAGACCCCTTTTAAATAGAGTGAGAATTATTCCAAAATTTTTACTCTAATAAAAATGGATAGCAATGACTCATGGCTTCATTGGGATGCCAGGGGACAGGCTTCATTAATTCAGAAATTATTATAATGTTAATTTTAAAAGCTACAGTGCCTTTCTCCCAATTTTCTCAATATATTCAAAATGTATTTATTTTCATACAAGTATTTATAGATAGGCTATATCTTAATTATGAACAAACTAAAGACTGTCCAAGGTCATTGTCTTTATCACAGATAAGGGTGGGAGGGATCCAGCATTTAACCAATGCTTGGTAATAAAAGGGTATGTGAAGAGGTTTCTGTAATATTTAATTACTCCTATTATGTTTGAGAAAACTATAAGGATATTAGTCTCTGTTTCATCTCAATATAAGATAGTCATCTCTGAACAAGAAAATTGATTGCTGTTTTGTGTTCCTTTCTACACAGGTAAACCAATTACTTTGATGGACAAAATAAATCACTCCAACATGGCTTAAGTGGTCAGTGATATTTCCACCTCAAACCAGCTGTAAGATCTGACTGGTTTTGTAGCCTGGCTTGCATACAGGGCAATAATGGATTTACATGTATTTGAGGGCTACAGGCAGAGCCACCAAGCAAACAGTTTTATGTCAGAACTCATCAGAAGTCCCCTTGCAAAAGAATCATTCATCTAATTGGAGGCTAATGACACACTCAAACAGGAGGGTGCTGGGCTGTGGGTCCCATTAGAATTCCCAGGGATCTCTACAAATGTTCTCAGGAGCGTGGGGGGGGCGGGGGGCGGTTAACAAAATGACTACTTTTTTACAATGTTGTGACTCCGCTTCTTCCCATCACTGCGAATGTCCCAGATGGTGTTTGAAGGTCAGAGTGCTTGGTCAGAGGGATAGACTTGTTTGTTTTAAAATAGATGAGTCATTTACAGGCTTCTACTAGCTGAGGATTTGCAGGACACAATGGGAGATAACTCATAAGTACAAGCGCAAAAAAAAAAATTAACATGGGAGACTCAGTACCCATTGCCACAGTCCTGGAATTGCAGAGATGTGCGTGTGTCACAGTGTGCCACAGAGTCACATGTGGAGGTCAAAACAACTTTAAAAAGTTGGTCCTCTCCTTCTACAATGTGGATGCAGGTCATCAGGCTCAGAGGTAAAAGACTTTACTCTATGAGCCAACGTACATATCAGGCCCCTAGCAGAGACTTTTAAAACTGATTATTCTTTCTTAATTCAACTTTATCACTGAAAGTTGAAAATAAAGTATCCTAGAAAGTACCTTCCATGGGTTTCAGGAGGAATAGAAGTGAAGGTTTACGGAGCACAGGGCTCTGGTCCAGACAGTGAGTCAGAGGCTTCATATATGCCATCTCATTGGGTCCTCCTAGCAGGTCCATTGAGGAGACAGCATGAAAGAGGCAAGGTTCAGCGAGGCTGAGTGGCCATTCCCATCACACAATATTTGACTAAGTTAATATTCAAATAAACAAAGCCTATGAAAAACCAGTCCACCAGGGCTGCTATTTAAATATGTCAAGACACCTTCATTTAAGTGTGTCTAAGAATTTACTTTTTTAACCAGTCAATCCTACATGAAGACAGCATAAAAGATATAGTGTCCATCTCTCTTCTAGGCCATTAATAGATTAGCAATAAAATAAAAAAATAAGTCATTTTATATACAATTGAATGATTTGGGGGGGTATTTTTGAAATAGGGTCTCCCTGTAGCCCCAGCTGGCCTGGAACTCACTATGAAGACCAAGATGGCCTTGAACTCACAGAGATCTGCCTGCCTCTGCCTTCCAAGTGCTGGGATCAAAGGCATGCACCATCACACCCGGCTCACAACTGAATGATTTTTATTTCGCTTAGAAGAAGATACTAAGTCATTCTAAGCAAAGCAAAAACATCAGTAACTTGAAACTACAATTTTAATTTATAATTATTAATAATGGCTTTGTAATGGCTAATTTTCAGACACTGGCAGAGTTGTAAATTTACTTTTTCATTCTATCCATTTCCCGCAGAGCCTATTTTGCAGGTGTTAAATGGAAAGCAATCAGTTCAACCAATTCCTTAGATTTTAATTACTAAACAAAACTGTTGGTTTGTGCCTACATTGTGACTGAAAGCACTGAAATCTCATATTAAAATGATTTCATAATTCTTAAATGTTTTTTACAGGGGCTTTGCCACCTAGAAATGCAAACTTAGTTCATTTCTCTGTGAGCCTCTGAAACTATCCAGCGTCTTTAGGAAAGCTACTTAATGCTTGCAGTCAACCTCTTTTTTCAGGTTCAAGCGTTGTTTTACTTTATTTGGATTCACTTGAACTTGCAAAAGGAAAGACTCACTATTGTGGCTTGGAGATGAGGCATCCTCCAGAAAGACTGAAGACTTGATCTGCAATACAAGGTTCAGAGATAAGACTTTTGGTAAATGGCTGGGTCTTGTGAGTTAGTCCATTGATACATTTGTAATTGAATGTATAACTAGAACATGGTGAAAACTGTGGAAGGTGTGACCTGATTGGAGTTAAATGGGTCATGGGGACATGCCTTTGAAGGATTATCTTACCCATAGATTCTTCCTCTTTCTGTCTCTTTCTGCTTCCTGACTGCCATGAGATAAGCAGCCTGTCACACACACACACACACACACACACACACACACACGCATGCACACACGCATGCACATGCACACCTCATAATGTTTTATCTTCCTACAATCCTGAAAGTCATGGAACTAGCTGAATGTTGATAAAATCTCCAAAACCATGAACCAAAATGAATCTTTCCTCCCTTGTTTTCTCAACATTGTTTACAATTAATCATCCTTTCTTTGAAATTGTAAGAAAAAATGACACAGTCAACCAGCCATATTACTGTGTAGTTATGAGCAATATGCATCTTCAACTAAACAAAATAGACTTGTGAGGATTACTGTCTCTCATCTACAGAGCATGAACTGAGGGAAGAGTATGATAAGCGCAAACCTCTTGGGCATTATCTTCATCACAGATGGGTAATTTGCTCTCATCTGTCTACAACAATCTAAATCTTATATAATAATTATCACAGGCTGGAAATGAGCAATTCTTTCACTCAAAACTGAATCACAGCAATCACTTGCAAGGCCACCCATTTGGGAGGAAAATGAGTTAAGCAGGTGTGGGAGGTCAAAGGTTTGATATGCAGGAAAAGATACTTTTCATCATGAGGTTGGTAATAATGTTGACTAACACCAGTTCAGAGAAAATGCCTTAGCCTCATCAAAGGCAAGAATGGCAAACTTGAAGAAAAATTAATCAATGTAAAATGAAATTTGGTCATTCTCTATTTGGAGGGAATCATCTTCTTAAATTCAAGCTCTTCATTCTCTCCTGAGAGATATAAAAGAAAATTCAAATTTTTATATAGAGAACATTATGGTCACTATAAAAAATAAAGTTAAATACATCTTGGATGAATAGTTTTGCTTTTTTTAAAAAACTTCACATAAATTCTAGGTTGACTCTCCAGAATCCTTATAAACCTTGAAGCTTGAGTGATTAGCATCACAAAACTGATCTGAAATTCATATTCCAAACTCTCTTCGAAAAGCATTAATCATAAGAATCATAAGAAGAGTTGAATCTCCCATGCTGGCGGCAACCGAGGAGTCAGAAAGCAGAAGGGGAAAGGAGCCAGTGAGGACCAGGAAAGAACTCCTTGTAGAAGCTCTGTGACTTGTATAAAGAGAACAAAGTCTCAAAGGATGGCGCCGAGGTCAAGAATTCCTGAAATGTGTCATTCTCTCTCTGTCCTTTTTCAAGTTCATGTGGTTTTCAGTGTGACTTGGGGTCAAAGTGAAGGCACTACTGTGGAATATGGGTAGAATCTCAAGGTTTTGTTGCAAATGGCTCTCTCAGAGAAAAGCTCATGTGCAGCTGGCCTGGGCTCCATCCCTGTCCTCTCAAGTGAACGTAAGCAAGCCCACTTGTGAGAGACATAAGCAATGTGTATGGATAGGGCCTCGGGGAGAAAGCACCAGCTCACTCACCACATACCATCCTTCCCTGATTGAGAATCATCCTAAGCCTACTCATTGCTCAGCAAAATAAGGATGCTACAAACAATATCACCACAGGAAGAAAAGCAAGGTCTTCTCTTCACATCGACCAACTGATAGGTCCTATGTCTTTTCATCTCAGACTTTCTTTGTCTGATCGGCCTGTCCAGGGGAATGGGA